TATTTCAGTCTCTCCCAACCCTATATCATTAGGGTGAATCAAAGTGAAAATCCACTTACCGATTCGCCGTAATAATAATATAATATCTAAAATTTGATTAACTAAAACTGATAATATTATTAATAATATGATTACAGCTAATTGTGATACATATATTGCAACTACTAACAAAAACTGCAACTATTAAAATTTAAATAAACAATTGAGAAGTCATCTTTATATATTATTGAATATAATAAAGAAAAAGAGATGTAATATATTACCTATAATGGATCTGAAGAAGCATTAGTCCAAGAAATCTTTTTGACTATTTATTAATAACTATCTTCTTTTCAAAGAAAACAACTAGCTCAATTGAAATATATCAATATAAAACTCTGTAATGAATATTTGATTTCTTGTGATTCAGATACTTGTGAAGATTGTGTATAATCTAAACAGGTTGAAGAGTTACTGAAAGAAAAATATCCAGAACCAGAAAAAGAAGAGAAAGCTAAAAATAGTGGCTATGATTCAATTGAAAAAATTCTAAATAAATATTATACAGCAACTGGAGATTATGAAGATAAAGAAGAAGAAGAAAAATAACTTGAAAAACAGTTAGCAAATTTAATGATCAAGATTTATAATAATGAAAACAGAGAAAAAATATCTGAATGCATCCATAAATATAATGCAGGCTTTGATCTTAGATACTCTGGAGAAGAAATAATCCTGGTTTAATCTTGTCAGACTGTTATGATTGATCTTTATTTGGTAATTGAAGTTTCTATAAGAATTATTTGTTAATTAATATCTTGATCATCACTAGCCAAGAGAAGAATTGAAGTTAAAGAAGGAATTATTGATATTGGATATATTGGAAATATTAGAGTTCTTTTGCATAATAATTCTAACAATTTTATAAGATTCAACCTAATAAATAAATTATTCAAGTGATCTTTTTATAACTTGTTCTAATTAAAGGAATAATATCTGTAAATATCAGAGAAGAGTTAGGAGAATTATCTTATAGAACTCAAGGATTTGGATTAATTAAAAAGGATAAAATGAAAGTATACTTCCTAGATAAAGAAGAAATCAAAAAAGTAGTTAAATAATGAGAATTATTACTTGAATAACAAGATGTCTTATATAATCTGTTACAAGTATACAAAGATATATTTGCATCAAATCTTAATAAACTTGAATGAACCAATATTATTCAACACTTAATCAATACTGGAAATGAAAAGTCTGTTTATCAAAAGAATTACAAAGTAATAATACCTGATCAAGAATTTATTCATGATAAAATCCAATGAATATTAGATACAGATATTATCCAAAAATCCAATAGTTCCTGGGTCTCATCTATTATAGTAGCAGTAAAGAAAAATGGCAAGAAATGATTTTGTGTTGATTACAGAAAACTCAATACCCTCATCAAAAAAGATGCTTATCTCTTATCATGAATTAATAAAATGATAGATAATCTTGAAGATGCAAAGTAATTTTCATCTATAAATCTTACATTTGATTATTGACAAATTAAAATAGAATTATCCAGTATTGAAAAGACAGTACCGTAAAGTTCCAATAATAAGCAATCCCCTACATTATCATTTTAGGATCAAATTTTAGAGGATGTTGCTTATTTTCAGAACCTTTCCCAATGCTTAATTTTTATTAGTCCAATTCTTATGGGTGCAATGCCAAATTACATAATGTTATAATAGTAACATTATAGAAGATTAATATTAAAAAAGGAATTTGAAAGTCAGATAGTATTACAAATGTAATATAATATAGAATATTTATTGTACAATTTTTTTTTGAATGCTCCTGATTCTCTCAAACCAATTTTTTTCACGTAACTCCAAGTCACGTAATTCTGAGATGCATATCTAAAAAATGAATAATAATGTTAATATTTCTAATAACTCATTCAAAATTAAAAAATAATTACAAAAAGTATCATATACGGCTTCCGAAAAACTTGCCATTATTGATGAAGCCAAAAAAATTGGCATCTTAGCTGCAGAACGTCATTTTGATATTGATCAGTCAATGGTATCACAGTGGATATCTAATGAAAAAAAGCTTGCTAATGTCATACCAAAAAACAGATATGTTAATGCTGGGAGATTCTTGACGTATCCTGTTATTGAAGAAGAACTTGTTACATGGATAAAAGAACTTCATCTGGTTGGAATTACTGTAATAGTTGGGACTATCAAAATACAAATAACTACTATTCTTGCAATAACTTGTGCAAATACTTATTTAGATATTTCTGATAAATTTCATGCTTCCAAATCTTGGTTTTATCAGTTTTTAAAAAGACACAATCTTTTCCTTTGACGTCATACTAAGATTAGCCAGCAATTACCCATTGATTTCAATACAAAAACTATAGAATTTCAAAGATTTGTCATCCAATCCCATCAAAAATATCAGTATGACCTTTCCTAAATTATCAATATAGATGAAATTCCAGTTTATTTTGATATGACTAGTTCTACTATAATCAATGAAAAAGGTGTCAAAACAGTCCAAATTTGAACCTCTGGTAATGACAAAAACTGATTTACCTGTGTACTAGCTATTACTGCTGATGGTGGTAAACTGCCACCTATGGTTATTTTTAAGGGTGTACAGATATCTTCCAATCTTTCTAAAGATATTATAGTTTGTATGCATGAAAAGACTTGGATAGATGAAAACTTAATGTGTGAATGGATAGATAATATTTGGAACAAGCGAATTGGAACCTCAATGATAAATAAACCTCTTTCATTTCTTATTATAAATTCATTTGAAGAGCATAAGACTGATTCAGTTTGTCAAAAATGTAATGCCAGTAATACACATATTGCAATTATTCCAGGTGGTTTGACATCTATTATTCAGCCTTTAGATGTATGTATTAACAAATCATTCAAAGATAAGTTACAAGAAAAATGGCATTTATGGATGAGTAGAGATAAGTTTTAATTAACAAAAGATGAGAATTTAAAAAGACCAGGATATCATTTAATTTACCAGTGGATTTTAGAGGTATAGAAAGATATTTTGATAGAAATGATTTTTAAATCATTTAAAAAATGTGGTATTTCTAATTCATTAGATAGAAGTGAAGATGGCTTGTTATATAATTCTGATATAGAAATTAGTTAATTAGATCAAAATGATGACTTAATTAAGATAGTTGATCAAAATAATATTTTAGCTGACAAATTAGAAAATGAATAAAATAAAATAAAATTAATTTTTTAAAAATTATTACCAAAAAAGAGGGTTGCTTATTCAATTTTTCTAAGACTTTTGGATCTAAAGAGGGAGAGGTTGCTTATTTTAGGGGGTTACTTATTATCAGGACTTTACAGTATTTATTTCAAGAAAAGGATTATATAAATTTAAAGTTATACCTTTTAGACTTTATAATATACTAGTAACTTTTTAATGAGTTATAGATAGCATACTTGGAGATTATAATTAGAAATTCACCATGATCTATATTAATGATATAAATGTATATTCAAAAACTTGAGAAGAATATCTGGAATATTTACAAAAAGTTTTTCAATGAATCAGAAAAGCTGGATTGAAACTCAGCTTGAAAAAATATAACTTTACTCAAGATAACTTACTCTTTCTAGGATATATTATTACTCAAGATAGAATTTTACCTAACTTTTTAATAATTTAATGAATTCAAGAATTTACTATACTAATAAATATCAAGAAGCTTAGATCATTCTTAAAACTAGCAGAATATTACAAAAAATTTATTAAAGGATTCTCACAAATAGCAGTATTACTATTTAAACTTTTAAAAAATAATATTATTTTTATTTGAACTGTATATTTAAATTTTTAAAGAATGATATCATTTTCATTTGAACTGTAAACCAAGAGAATATATTTCAGACTTTGAAAAAAAAACTTATTACTGCTCTAATCTTAATCTATCCTGATTATATCTCAATTAAAATTATATAATATAAAAATCTCTTTATATAAAATGTCTAGTATAGATTATCAT